AGTTCAGTACTGTCGGTTTAACGTTTGTGTTTATATTTTTAGCGTCTGGAAGAAATCATGAAGAGGACTCATAAGAGTGATGCAGGAGCACAGGTGAGGGAGAAAACTCCAACTCAAGTGAATGGCAGAGTCACTGACAGCAGTAAGAAATACATGTATAGAACTGAGAATTTATAAAAATCACTCTTTCTTTTATTTAAATCATGTAAGTAGAGTTCAATAAAAGAAATACAATGTTGTTTTTCTCTCGTATTGCAGTAATACAGAAAAATCTGTCAGAAGCTCTTCATAGTGGTGTGACAAACCAATCACCAATGAGGTAATCGAGACGCTGCATGAATTGAAATTGAAATGAAGCTGCATGAAATATTGTTTGCTTATTTTCCCGCATGTGTGTTTTCCTCAGCTCTGTGTCCTGGGATACAGCACCAGTCAGCACCAGCTCCGCCCACTAAGCATCATAATGGACTGTCCTCCAATGGAGACGCAGCAGACTTTGAGGAGATAATCAAGCTGTCCAATCACAGTGGGAACAGTGGAATCATGGCCTTCGAGGTAGGAGAACCGTTTATGATGAAGGCGGGGCCTATGAAGCCTCAACATGTGGCAGGTAGAATCAAGATTTTGTTAGATTACAAACAGTTGAAACCAGAAGTTTACATACACTGTATAAAAAGGCACATCACCAAAAAAGTCAGATGTTAATGAGACTAAACTTATTTTTTTAGGTAAGTTAGGATTTTCAAATGTGTTTCTGTTCTGTTTAATAGCAGAATAATGAGAGATATTTGTTGAGAAATTGTTATAACTTTTCTTGAAAGTCAAGTTTACATACAATCAGATTATTATGTCTCTGAAAAAGCTCAGATGACGGTGTCTAGGTTTTGGAAGTTTCTGATTGGCTAATTGATAACATTTGAGTTAATAAGAGGCACAAAAAGACTTTTGGAGACATGTCCTGTGGTCTGATGGAACTAAGTCTGAACTGTTTGGCCATAATGACCAGTGTTACATTTGGAGAACAAAGGGGAAAGCTTACAAGCCTAGGAACACCAACTGTGAAGTATTGGGGCTGCAGCATCATGTTGTGAGGCTGTTTTGCTGCAGAAGGAACTGGTCCACTTCATAGCATAGTTGGCATCATGAAGAAAGAACATTATGAAAAAATACTGAAGCAATATCTCAAGTCATCAGCCAGGAAATAAAAACTTGGCCACAAATGGGTCTTCCAAACAGACCATGACCCTAAGCATACTACCAAATTAGTTAAAATGTGCTTTAAGGACAACAGAGTGAATATTTTGGAGTGGCCATCACAAAGCCCTGATGTCAATCCTATAGAAAATTTGTGGGCAGAGTTGAAAAAGCTTGTGCGAGCAAGACAGCCTACAAATCTGACTCAGTTACACCAATTCTGTCTGGAGGAATGGGCCTAAATTCCTTCAAACTATTGTGAGAAGCTTGTGGAAGGATACCCAAAACATTTGACCAAAGTCAATACAGTTATACAGTTATACATATAAGTATATATAAGATATATAAGTTATACAGTTTAAAAGCAAAGCAAAAAAATACCAAGGAAATGTGTGTAAACTGTTGACTGTCTAGAAATTAATAAAAAATTCTCCAAAAGAAATCTCTCATTATTCTGGCATTTAGCAAATGTAAATCATTTAGGTAATCCTAACAGACCTAAAATAGTAAACATTTAGTATGATTTACCATCAGATATTTTTTAAAGGGTTATGTTTTTTGTTTTTTTTTAAGTGTATGTAAACTTCTGGTTTTAACCTTATGTTAGATCATATATGGATCAAATCTTGTCATCAGTGGAGTTGCTTTTCAGTGTTTCGTCTTTCAGCAGTGACATTTACATTACACTGAACTGAACTAAACTGAACCTAAAATAAAATGTTGAAAATAATGTATAAAGGATGATTAAGAGAGTCTCCAAGCTGTTTTCCATGCATGAAGCTGATGATATCTGCAGTTTGACTTTGGGACAGTGTGAATGACTGAAAAAAAGCAGCCTTGGCATTCTGCAAAGCGTCTCTATTTTCAGTTTCATAATACCAGCCATGGATGTTGTTGGCAAGCTTTTAATAGTTCAATACAGCCACAGCCATGTCACCCTGCACCCCAAGACCGGTTACTCACTGAAGCTAAGCAGGGCTGAGCCTGGTCAGTACCTGGAAGGGAGACCACTAGGGAACACTAGGTTGCTGTTGGAAGTGGTGTTAGTGAGGCCAGCAGGGCCTGCTCAACCTGTGGTCTGTGTGAGTCCTAATGCCCCAGTAAAAGTGAAAGGGATGCTAGACTGTCAGTGGGCGCCGTCTTTCGGATGAGATGTTAAACCGAGGTCCTGACTCTCTGTGGTCATTAAAAATCCCATGGCACTTCTCGTGAAAGAGCAGGGGTGTAACCCCGGTGTCCTGGCCAAAGTCCCTCTATTGGCCCTTACGATCATGGCCTCCCAATCATCGCCTTTGGCTTGATCACTGTCTCTCCACTCCACCAATAGCTGGTGTGTGGTAAGCGCACTGGCGCCGTTGTCCTGTGGCAGCCGTCGCATCATCCAAGTGGATGCTGCACACTGGTGGTGGTGTGGAGAGACCCCCCTCATGATTGTAAAGTGCTTTGGGTGTATGGCCATACACAATAAATGCGCTTTATAAATACACATTACATTACATTACAATAAATCATCTTCCCATGTGTGTTTCTGCTGTTTTCCTGCAGAGGTGCTGTGAGAGATGAGATATCAGAGTCTTCTGGACATAATGAGAAGAAGAGAAGCCTTGCTCTACCACTGCTTCCACCCTGACGTGTGCCAAACCAACAAAAACAGACTGCTTTAACTTTAGAAACACTGCCGAGCCGGATGCGCTCTGGAGAAAGTGCCAGAAGACGACCTTAAAGAGACACTTATATACAACGTTTGCAAAAAGTCTCCGTCTATTTCAGTGTGTGTGTCATGGTGCAGCATTTGTTGAGTTTCTTTAACAAGTCACCTGGGGCCTCATGTATCAATGCTGCGTACGCACAAAAACTTTGCGTACGCCAGATTTCACGCTCAGAATCGCTCACGTTTGGATTTACTAACAATGAACTGAACGTGGGAATGTGCGCAGGTTCACGGCAGCTTTCTGGCTGGCGTACGCACATTTTTGTGCGTGTCTGTTTTATTTCCATTGGCGACTCCTAGAGGCAGTTGTGTTAAATTCCTCTCTACAAAGTGTCTGAGCCTTGCAATGGCAGCTGTATGAGACGGGTTCATCTAGCAGGTAAATAAGGTTTCCATACCATACATTTGACCAGCTAAACATTAAAGCACAATTTGCAGTGGTCGCCTGTTTTCCCAATGTAATCTGAGCTATCTACTGCACGCACATTGCTATAAAGACACTATCTGAAGATGAATTTGCATGCGTGAATCAGAAACATTTCCATTCAATAAATGTGCAAATAAAATATGATGCTTATTGATATGAACTTATTGATGATTGCTACTTGTCTTTCTCGTGATAAATAGTGGGCAAAATCTGATATGTAGCGGGAAATAAAGAAGAAAGAGTTCATCAGACGCTAGATTTGAGCCGAGTTTATGCTCGAACGTGTCAATACATGATCACGTGCATCTTACGAGGTGCGCCACTAAGACTGCTAAGGGTTCTGCAACATTTTACAGATATAAACCACACTATTTCTATTTATAATGCATTCAGTGCGATGTTCAGACCCAACTGTGTTAACCGCATCAGCTAAACTCTCCCACTCTATTTTTTTTCTTTTGTTGTTAATTCCGGAGAACAAACTTGCAAAACATCGGTCTGCAAAACACCGGTCTCCGGTCTGCCTCCGAAAGCAGCACCTCCATTTCACATTCTGTTCAAAGTTTCTCTTTTTGCTTGATTTTGCCATTGCTTTTTCGTTGGGTTTTCCATTAGCATAGTCATTAGCATATTCATACGGGGGAGGAGGCAGGGAGGGGTTTTGTGCTCGTGCATGTTGCGCTCAGTTTCACGTTCATTCAGATGTACAAAAGAATATGCGTGAGATTCAGCGTACGCAGTGTTTCATACATCTGAATTTTTTTCTGCGTACGCACATTTACAGCTTTGTGCGTACGCAATGTTTTAGTAAGATTTCCACGCAAGTCTTCGTACATGAGGCCCCTGGCGATTATGTGGTGCACCTTAAAAGAGTTGCTATATATTGAATTTTAGAAAAGACAACTTGGTTTATCTTTATGATATGAATTATTGTTGTTGCTCTTGTTATGATGTATTATTATCGTTCTTTTAAGTAGAGAAAAAAAGCAAACGTGTGTCTTGTGCTATTGCGTTATTTACGTGTGGCGCATCACAAGAGGCTGATATTCTGTATGTTAATGTATATTTGCCTGATTATGACAGACCAGTGGAATAAATCTTTATGAAAGGGACTGTTTGTCAGTGAGTGGAGTGTTTGCTGTAGTATAAACTAATCAAAATAATGTGATCTTCATTTTAGTCTGGCTATATCATGATGGTAGAACAGTGCTTTATAATAACAATAATAATTCATTACATTTCTATAGCGCTTTTCTTGGCACTCAAAGCGCTTTACACATAGGGGAAATCTTCTCATCTACTTTTTCTTTTAATGCAAGAAATATGAACAAAGAGACAAAGAGGGTTACATAAATAGAATTTCAGCAAATTAAACAAGTTTAAATGATTTACACTAAGTGTTTTAAATGCAGTGTAATTGTTAGAGTCTTTTAAAGAGTCCTTTCTGAAAATAAAAAAGTAAGAGTGTTTCTATGAAAATTTACATTTATGGATGTAAAATTTTGTTTAAAAAAAGCAATAAATCAATAATAAATGTAAAATGAGAAGGATCTACACTCAGAGAGTAACCAAAGAATACAATTTTTGGGGAAATACAGAAGTTTGGAAATAAGAATTTTTTTATGAAATTGGAAAAGTCAACCCAAAACACTTTACAGTAAGTACACTCCTAAAACAAAATGGTTTAAGATTTTATCATATTGAGTACAAAATAAGCATTTAGGGGAAATAGTGTTATTAAATTTAGCTAGTTTGGTATTTATTGGGTAGCAATCTCCTCATCTACTACCAGTGTAGCATCCACCTGGATGAAGCAACAGCAGCCATTTTCCACCAGACCGCACACCACAGAGAGAGAAGACAGAGTAATGAAGCCAATTATGATATGGGAAGGGTTAGGAGGCCATGATAAACCCGTAGTCTTTTTCGAAAGACATTCTGGAATTTTAGGGTATATGCTGAAGCATGCTAATAGGACTTTTAATTTGCCAGTAACCTGGGTTAAGTGCTTCCGGCTAACTGTATGCCAAAGGAAAAAATCTGCACGTTTTTAATGTCTGTTTTCTTTAAAAATAAGCGATCTCCACTGGCTGAGTTATATCCGATATGAAGTGTTTGTCTTGCAGAGTGTGCAGTGTCTGTCTGTGTAGTTTCTGTGTGGCCCAGATATAGAGATGCTGCTCAGTCTTTGTCATATGCAGCTTGGCTGGCAATGAAAAAGTTAGAAATGTATATACAGCAAAAATATAACACATAGAAGGAATAAGTAAAAAATAAATGTACTATAATGCTACATGCTTATGAAAAATATGACATATTTGAGCATAAGAAACCTGAATTGAATTTTGAACTTTTAAGCATTAACTTTGTCAACCAATACATTTATATTTTTTCTACAGTGGAAAAGAACTTGGTTTTTTAACTGCAGTTTCATGAAGTTACAGTCTGGAGATTTAAAACATTTAAGGGAATGATTTCAACAATAAAACTATATTGGTTTTCAGAAAAAGGACAGTAGAAAATGTACTTTTTGTCAGGGAGTGAGTACATCAGCAAATCTAAGTTGTAAAAAAGAATTTTACAATATTTTTCCAATCAAATACTTTACAATCTTAAATCCATAAGCACTAAGTTGATTCATGAAGATTTAAATGTAGTTCTACCCCCAAAACTAAAGTGTTACATTAAATTAATAAAATTATTTGAAGCTCAAGCAATGACAGTTGTAGAGTTACTTAAATATTTTTTCGTACTTACCTTTGTGAAAATGTTGAGAGCATAATTGGAGAAATGAAGATATATTTTGCATCTCAATGCAGCTGGCCAGAACACCCGATGCGTCTGTTACTGCTACAGTCTGTCAATACACTTTCTTCCGAGCGGGAAATTTAAAATATCTGTTGTCGTGATCATTTATTACCTTTTCGATCGTGTGATTTACTACTACAGCCCTTAACACAACAAGAATGTAACACTGTATTTACTCTGCGAAAGACGCTAAAGCCACATAACAGCTCACGTTAACTCGGATACAACATAAATGGCGGCTATGTCCCATAATGCAATTCGTTGTTTACAACGGTGAAGTCACCGAAAGTTTATAAGTATATGGGAACAACACTAGCTCGGCATATACCCAATTATATTCATCTGTCTCCATATTCTACTGCATCCCAGAATATTACACTGCACCAAAAATGTAATAAAAAAATATATATATATTTAATATATTTTTGTGTACGGCAGACGGCAATTCGCCGTGACACAGATTCCCGAGTCTGTGTGCTCCAATCAGGTGAGCCCTTGTCAGCGCTCGCCATGACAACGAGACAGCAGTGACGTGCCTTGTAAAAATTTGCATCTGGATTCCTATAAAGCTCGTGTGCTCTCTATCAGCGTTGTCAGTTCGCTCAGTGTTGCTGTTTGTACTTGACCAAGGTGAATTCAATACCGACGGTATGAGTGGAGCCACGCCAATCTCACGAAATCCGCTTCGTGAAGCTTCACTCGGGCCCGTCTGTGCTGTAGTTTCTTGCGGTTTGCGTACATAAATGCAATATCGCGAGGAACATTACGTGTTTGTTGCTCGAAATGTGCCGCAGAGCAACATTCAGTGAATACTGGCACGGCCTGGAGCCCGGTCTTCTTGTGCACTCCCTGGGGCGAGGTGGCCTTTGAGCCCTAGGCAGGGAACAAACAACCCCCGAGGACCCTCAGGGAAACATGGGGGCATGGGCATGGTAGTGGGGGGAAAAGTGGACCTGACTACCCAGGGCCCCGTCTAGGGAGAGGGCCCTTTGAAATTCCACCAATTTTTTATTATTATTATTTTTTTGTAGCCTACCTTGAATTAATTGGCCCCTCCAATTGATGTCAATGTCATTATATATTTCAAAATGGTTTAGTCCATAGTAAATGTGAAAGAAGTTAATGTGCCTTTTAAAAATCTAAACAATTAAGTAATACTAATATAAGAAATTATATACTTGATTTATCCCTTTTAATGGTATAAAGGTTGAAATGCTATTGTATTAGATATTTTGTGTCTGTATACGTCTGCAAGATGTCTGTTAAAGATCTCTTGATCTGGAAAGCACCTGCTGTATACAAACGTCTGGCAGACGTCTGTATGATGTCAGTTTTACACACATTCTGAATCGCAAACATCTTAAAGATGTCTAATAGAAGTCTATTTCACATCTGATAGGAAACGTCTTGTAGATGTCTTGCAGATGTGAATGCAGATGTCAAATAGACATCTCCGAGATGTACGTGTGCTAATCAAAATCGGCCATTAAGAATCAAGATCGGCGCATAACCAAAAAGAAAATGGGTGCTCCGAAATTTTTTGGGATGCTCCTAACTTTTTGAAGTTGGGAGCACCAGTCCTGCCAAGTAAAAAGGTTAATTTCGAGCCCTGTAATGTATGTATGCTAATGTTAAATCTTTAGCTTAGTTTGTCAACCACGCTGCTTGTGGCTGTAAGTAAATTATGGGCCAGGCCAGCTAACGTTTCTGAGGGTACAGTTGTCTCGTGTTCTCCTGTTCAAAAATAAATGTTTTTAAATCAGAACTTGCATCAGTATCATGGATCAAAATGTCAGTACACAAACCCGATGTAGCCTACGGTTTAAAGGTATTTAAGCACAAGTAGGCCAAATGCATCAATTTGGAGGTGAATGAAAGAACCAGTCATTATTATAATCTAATTTGATAATAGATTAAAACACTATTTGTGCATGTTT